TTCCCAGGTTCAGTTCCAGCTGTTGGAGCATACAGAATCCATTGCTGTGTTCCGCTGGTGCATTTGTCTCCAGAAGACTCTGGAGTTAACCCCCCTTACTGTGTTTCTTATGCTAGGAACTGTAAGGGGTAGAGGATAATGCATATTTCCCCCTCCTTTTTCTGTGCTGAGATCTTTCTCTTCATTTTCTTCATAGGCTCCAAAGCTCACTTCAGATCCTTCCTGGGTCCCAGGGATTCCCCCCCCCCCCGCCTTATTGTACAGTGTCCAAGTTCCAGACTTACTGCTCTGAGATTTGCCAGGAGTTCATCTGGTTTCTAATCTTTGTTTTTTGAGACAACGTCTAGCTGTGTAGTTCAGGCTGCCTTGAACTGTCTGGTCTTAAACACACAGCAATGCTCCTTTGCCTGTCTACTGGAATGCTGTGATTGTACATGTGTGCCACAGGTGACTACCTTGTTTCTAATCTTATCTAGCCAACCATAGTAACTTTTCACACCTCTATACACTCTGTCTGGGCTTCTAGTTCTTCCTCTTAGACTCCTTCTTAACCCCTTAACCCCTTCTTAGCTATTCTGTAAGCTGTGTGTTATTGTGTAAAATGTTATGTATGACTTGAGTTTAATAGATATTAGTAATTAAGATTGGAATAAATAGAACAGATGATTGCCAGGCTTAATGGTTGTGAGTGACCTTTTAGTTCTTAGCCTGATAAGGCTGACATGATTGATATAATTCCTGAATTTGTTGTGTAGTAAATTCTGATATTACAGAAAGACACACATGTATGTCTAGTTTATATACTGGCATAGCTCACTCATAACAAGTATTTAAACTTTCTTTAATAGAAGCCAACTGAAAAATTTAGAGATGTTCTGTGTGTGTGTGTGTGTGTGTGTGTGTGTGTGTGTGTGTGTGTGTGTTACTAGATGGAGTTCAGAAAGGATGTGAACTGGCAATAGCTACTAGGTTTAGAAGAAGGAGGGCCTTCATTTGATATGTTAGAGTGATCTAGGCAGAGAGGTTAGAATGGAAAATGGCTCATCATTCATTCATTTATACCTTTATTCCTTCTTGTAATAAGAAAAAGAATGAATTTAGAGAAGTAATTTTGGATGGTTGCTTAGGGTCAGGCAGTGTTTGAGGAATATACAGTGTATTTTCTACCATTGCAAAGTTCATAGTGTGATATGTTAGAGAAGATTACTGAAAATGTAATGTGTCAAAAGAGAGTGATATAGCATACTGTATGAAAAATGAGGAGGTGTGGGCCAGGGATTTAGCTCAGCGGCCTAAGTGCCTGCATGGCAAATGTGAGGTCGTGAGTTCAATCTCCGGTACCAAAATAAATAAATAAGTAAATAAATAAAAAATGAGGAATTACACATAATTTAGTACAGGAGTCAGAAGGGATTAAAAGATACACTGTATAACTTATTCTTCAAAGTTGGTGGCCATTCATTATTTATTCAATACTCATTCATTAAATATCATTTTAAGCAGGTACTAGTAGGGCAGCTATTGTTACAGGCACTTGGAAGCTAACAGCAATAATCCTGGCTATTGTAGACTTTGCAGTATAACAGTGGGAAACAGAAAATATGTAGTCACATAGTAAATTATATAATACATTAGAGGATAAGTGCTCTGGGAAAAAGGTACAGCAAAGTGAATTGGAAAGGACATGTGTGTTTCTTTTTTGCAGTGTTAAATTTTAAAGTATGGTAGATTACACTGAGAAAATTAATTTCATTATGAAACATTAATTTTCAAAATTTCATTATGAAAATTTCATTATGAACATTAATTTCATTATGAAAAATTTCTAATGTATACAATAGTAATAAATAGTATGATTATCTTGTATACTTCTAACTCAGATATTCTAATCCCAAGAATTTTCCACACTTGTTTCTGTATCCCATCCCACCCTCCTTTTTTTTTTTTTCCTTTCTTTTTTTCCCCAGAGCTTTCACCAGAGCTTAAAGCCAATTTCTGAGAGGAAGTTTTTTCTCTCATACAGACTTTCGCATGCATCAGTAAAACATAGGGACATTTTCTTAACCACAGTAGTATCATCACAACTATAATGAATCTTGTAAGAGAAGACATTTGAGCCAGGATTAAAAGGAGGTGCAGTCTTCCAATAGCAGTTGGGAGGAGAGTGTGAAGGTAGCCTGTGCAAAGGTCTTACAGGACTGAAGCATGACAAGAGTATGTAAGTAGCATCTGGCTGATGGGGAGTGATTGTGTGCAAGGTGAAAAGACAAAAGGTCAGGTGGGCTCCTAAGAGGACTGGAACTGTTCTTTGGTTCCAGGGGGAACCATGACAGGGTTTTGAATGAAAAAATGAAAAGGTCAATTTAAAAAAAAAAAATTGTTCTATTGAACATTTGGAAGGGAAGCTCAGGATGTTGTTATTGATTAAAAGGCATGCTTTTTGTTTGTTTGTTTTCAATGGCTTGTGCCAGATGGTAGCAGTGAAATGGTAAGAAAAGTTTGGGTTTTGAAGATCGAGTTAACTAGATCTCCTAATGTGGATGAGGGAGAATGTAAGACATGTAGAAAACACAGCTTTTTGACCTGATTAACTCCAAGTGTGGAGTAGACTTGGGGAGATCATAAGCAGTTTAATCTTTTTTTTTTTTTTTTAAGCATACAAGTAGGGGCCATCATGGGGAATGGGAAGAGAATCAAGAAGTCAAACCATGCCTTCCTGTGAGTCAGGGACCACTGTGGGTATTGGGAAGAGAACTGAAAATCCAAACCATATCTTCCTGTGAATCCAGGGGCAGCTACCATGGGGAATGGGAAGAGAATCAAGAAGCCAAAACCATGCTTTCCTGTGAGGCTGGCAGGCAAGAATGACCCCTTTCCTCTGCCCCCAGCAACTGGTTGATTCAGAGGAACTCAGAGTGAGATGATAGCAACTGAGGTGAAAGGAATAGCTTGGTGCTTGTATTGTTTGATTGACTTAGCATGTCTGGGGCTGGTGCTCTGGGCATCTGTTTGGAGGATGGCAGTGTGCACTGTGGCAACTGTGGGGGATCTCTTTCTGTCTTGTTTTTGAAATCTTAACGTTTTACTATTTTGTTTTATTTCTGTATTTGGTAACCTGAACAACTATTTTGAAGATAACAATATGCAATATAACAACCATTGTTAAATTCTTATCATCTTGTTTTGACAATGTATATAGCTATTATTGTTGTTGTTTGATTTTTGTTTTTGTTTCTTTGCTTCTTGATTTTTGTTTTCTTTTTTCTCTTTAAAATTTAAAAAAACATACAAATAAGATAGCTGCTTAGATAGAAAGTACTAAAATATGTACCTGGATTTCTAATGCTGGATATTAAGGTTAGTAAAAGAGGTAGCAGTAAGCATGGTGTGTGATAGGATTATTTCCAAAAGATGTGAAGTATAAAACAAAAGAGGCCTTTATTCTGAGAACACGGAGAGAGATAACCAACACCCCCTGACCACTGGAGTCTGGGGATCCCTCTGGCAAATATGTGGGGCGGGGCTATATAAGTAGCCTAAGCTTAGGGTAGTGTCCTAAGGCCATTAGAGATGCACAGGTATTTCACTGGCACACGTTTGGCGCCAGGGGCAGATTCCTAAGGGTGAGGGGAGATAGAGTCACAGGTAAATCTCTAGGTGTGGGGGAAGGCTCCGTTGAGGCTTTCCTGGCTACAGTATTCTGTCTGGGCCAAAACCCTTTCAGTGTGTACTATTCATACAGGTTGATGATCAGGTTTATCGGAATTGCCTGGAACCAGAAGTTTTTGATATTTGGAATATTTGCATAGACTGTAATAATTGGTTGTCTCGTATAAAAATCTGAAAGTTAGAATTGCTTCAAAATCTGAAGCCTGAGTATTATATTAGCACTCTTGAGATGTTCAAAAATGTAATGGTTTGTGCTACAGCTCTGCAACCAGATAAAATATAGATGTTCATGGATTATTGCTGCTTAAACCATTGACTGTTGGTAAGTTAGAACTACTGTTTCTTCATTAAGATTACTCTTTTAAGCAAAGGTACATTTCCTGTTTTTCACAAACCATTCAAGAATGAATAAATAAAATGAAAGTATTCTTAAAAGTATTATAGTATGCATCTCTTTTTATCATGTTAAGATTTATTTCAGATGAGGTAGTCATCTCTGGATTCCTTGGGGTCACTCAGAGTAATCCCAGAGTACTTTGGAAGTACTGACTAATTAAGTCAGAGACATCTGTAGACTCTGACCAGGAATTATCTGAAGTGCTCTGGTAATTTCAGGGTACCCTAGAAGACCCTAATATCCTTCCTCTCTATCCTGAACTCATTAAAATTTTCTAAATCTGAGCTACTTAAGAAACATATTAAACATTCTTACCTTTTTCTTTCTACCGGTAGTACCACTAGAGAGAGAGAGAGAGAGAGAGAGAGAGAGAGAGAGAGAGAGAGAGATTTTTTTTTAATTGGTTCTGGGGATCGAACTCACAATGGCCTGCTTGCGAGGCAGGTGCTTATGCTGCTGAGCTAAATCCCCAGCCCCGAGAGAGGGATTTTCATCATAGGCAACCAAATGTTTGTTAGTCTGGGGGTGGGCACTATGGAAAGGATGTTGTCAGCATAGATGTTTTCAGTAGCTTTGTGCAGGGTAAACGTCTTGTGATGTCTTGTATTTCTCCTTTTAAAAACAAAACTCTTCTAATTTCTTTTTTGGATCATTTGGAGATTTGAATACAGGTTATAGAGGTGTGTGAATGAGTGCCACATCAACTTGGTGTTGTGCTGGAGTTGCAATTGCTGTGGTAGCTTGCATTGGTCCGAATAATTTTACATAACTAGGTTCAGAGTCAGAGACACTCCTGCATACATGGTTGAATTAGCCCTAAAAACAGTCTGGATTCTCTGATCCACTGAGCAGAGTTGTCAGGAAAAGGTCTGATATTCATAATGTTAAAGTAATTCTCTTTGGGCACTTACTGTCTTTTGCTTATCTTGTCTAGGAGATGCACCGGAGATTTGAGAATGCCCCTGATTCTGCCAAAACAAAGGCTCTGCAAACTGTTATAGAGATGAAAGTAAGTGAGAATCTAATAAAGAACTTTTCACTTTTAAATCACCATGCACTTTCTTTTTCTTTCTTTCTTTTTTTTTTTTTAATCGGTACCGGGATTGAACTCACGACCACATGCTTGCAAGGCAGGTGCTTATGCCGCTGAGCTAAATCCCCAGCCCCCTCATCATGCATTTTCATAAAATGTTTGGGAATAGTACTTCACTCATGGGAGAATGAAAGGAAATCCTGACTTAGCAGAAATGACACCTTAAAGGAATTTCAGTTTCCTTTCAGTTGTAGATCATGATACAAATTAGATGAAAATAGCTGGCTTGAATATTGTTAGATCAGCTATTCTTAAACTTCTTGGTCTCAGGACCCCATAACTTTCTAAAGTGACAGGGTCACTTCCTTCATTTTAAGATGATACCTACCAAATAACAGGTCTCAATAACTGTATTTATCCAGTTGTTCTTTTAAGTAAAAATTGTTTTCTGGGGCCAGGGATTTAGCTTAGTGGCATAGAGTCTGCCTGGCAAGTGCAAGGTCCTGAGTTCTATTCCATTAACTGTCCCCCGCCCCCAAATTTGTGTTCCATGAAGAGTACCCAGTTTTTTTCACCTCAAGGCAGCATACTAGAACATTGCTGAGGACATCCATGATACCTCAGGAACATCCATGTTACCTCAGTGTCCAGCAAAATTATTTCATGTTGCTTCCCATTTTGTCACACAGAATATAAAAAGGTGTGTACTTGATGTTTATTAAAAATAATACTTTTTACTACAAGGATATTCTTCAATTTTCTCCCTTGCTGTGAGTCCCTAACACTGAAGAATGTCATATCTTTTAGCATGAATTTATGCCATTGGCTTGATTAGTGCTAAGGCATAAATGGTTTTGCTTTTTTTTTTTTTTTTATTTTTTTTTATTTAAGAGGAAAAAGAGAAAAACACAAAACAAACCAAAGCGGCGTAAGGGTACACGCAATACAGAACTACAAAACAAAACAAAACAAAACAAAACAAAACAAAACAAAAAAACATAACAGTAAGAAATCACCTGCTAGTAGATTACACACTATCTTCTTGAAAATAGTTCCTCAAATCACAGTATCAAAGAACACAAGGTGGACATTCAAACAGGGAGACTGCAAACAGCTGTGTTCAATGTTCCAAAAACATTGATAAAGTCAGCTATTTAACACCCCCAAACACACTTGCTGTTATATCCGTTAGAGCTCTTTTTCTTTTTTTTTTTTTTTTTTTTTCTTCTCTTTTTTACAACAAAATTTACACATCTTGGATTTTATTACTCCTTAGTGCTTATTACTTTCTTTGGGGGGGGGGGGAAGAATACAGTCAAATATGGCAAAACAAAGCTGTCAGTCAATACCAAGGATAGACATAGCACATGGTGTAGAACAGAGTACAAGTTTATCAACAATGGTTATCAACGTTGTCCCTTGTTTCCTTAAAAAGAATTGTCTATCTTATTAGATATTATAAAGTTGGACAAAACAGTAGAGAACAAGACCAATAAAACTTAGGCATTGTAAACATTACAGGACTTCCAAAGAAGACAATAGTCAAACCAGAATGGGTATCTTAGTGAATCTTATTGTCTTCAAAGTAGTTGCCTATTTCTTCAAACTTGATACTATCATATAGAATGGAACAGAGTCTAATCAGTCAAAACAAGATCGTGGGAGTACTACAGGACTTCAAAACAAGTTAATAGGAAATTGAAAAGAGTTACTATTTATATATCCTAATTTTTTTGAATTTTTTCTTTAATTAAGACAAACATAAGAAATGACTAAATAATTTTTTTTGAAACAATAAGGGGGAGATTGATATAAAACAGGACATAACAATATAACAATAGAGGTCACAGCATGACTGTTTCCACAACCTAGTACTTCACCATCTTATAACCTGACTTAATAGTAGTTACCATAGTGTCTTTTTCCTTGAAATATTTGGATAAAACTTCATATACTCTAGCTTCAAATATTTTCATATCAAGAAGCCCAGAATAAAGCCTTTCTAATTAATGAAAGAAAACTTTATAAGGCTTCAAGGCCACCTAATGGGGAATCATGATTACCACATATTTTTATATATTTGAATCATTATTTACATTAGGGAAACTATTCGGTATTCACACATGCGAGATTGATTTATTTCACTAATGAGTATGGTCTCAAGCTGCGCCCATTTATTGATAAATATCTCAATGTGATCCTTCTTTATAGCTGAATAATACTCCATTGTATAGAAATACCACAACTTTTTTATCCATTCCTCAGTTGATGGGCACTTGGGTTGTTTCCAAGATCTGGCGATTACAAATTGTGCTGCTATAAACGTAGGTGCACATATATCACTGTGGTATGATGCTTTCAGTTCTTCTGGGAATATGCCTAGAAGTGGAATAGCTGGAATAAATGGGATTTCCAGTCCCAACTTTTTGAGAAATCTCCAGACAGATCTCCACAAAGGCTGTACCAGTCTACACTCCCACCAGCAGTGCAGGAGAGTTCCTTTTTCCCCACAGTCTCTCCAGCATTTGTTGTCGGTTTTCTTGATCCTGGCCATTCTTTCAGGAGTGAGATGGTATCTCAGTGTGGTTTTAATTTGCATTTCTCTAATGACCAATGATGATGAGCATTTTTTCATGTATTTATTTGCCATTTGCATTTCTTCATCTGAGAATTGCATATTCATCTCAGATGCCCATTTTTGGATTGGATCTTTGAATTTCGGAGGTCTGAGTTTCTTTAATTCTTTATATGTTTTAGACAAGAGGCCCTTGTCTGAGAGAGAGTTCACTAAAATCTTTTCCCAGTTTGTGGGTTTTCTTTTCACTATGCTGGAGATTTCTTTTGACATGCAGAAACTTTTTAATAAGAAGTGGTCCCAGTTATTGATTCTGGGAAGTATTTCCCGTGCGGTTTGAGTCCTGTTCATGAATTCTTTACCTACTCCTATGTCTCCAAGGTTTCTACCTATTTTGTCTTCCAATAGATTTAGTGTTTCTGTTTTAATATTCAGATCTTTGACCCATTTAGATTTTAATTTAGTACATGGTGATAGACATGGGTCTAGCTTTAGTTTTCAGCAAATGGAGAGCCAGTTTTTCCAGCACCATTTATTAAAGAGACTGTCGTTCTTCCAGTGAACCTGCTTGGCTCCTTTATCAAAAATAAGGTGGTTGAGTGTGTTCGTAGTTGTGGTTGTATCTTCTAATCTATTCCACTGATCTTCAGCTCTGTTTTGATTCCAATACCATGTTGATTTTACTACTGTTGCTTTGTAGTATAACTTCAAGTCAGGGATTGTGATGCCTCCTGCTTTGTCTTTGCTGCTTAGAATTGCCTTTGCGATTCTAGGTCTCTTCTGGTTCCAGATGAAATTTAGGAGTGATTTCTCTAGATCTATAAGGTATGTTGATGGTATTTCTATTGGGATTGCATTGAATCTGTATAACAGTTTTGGGAGAATGGCCATTTTCACAATGTTTGTTCTTCCTATCCATGAGCAAGGGATGTCTTTCCATTTTCTGAGATCATCTTCAATTTCCTTTTTCAGTGTATTATAATTTTCACTGTATAAGTCTTTCACTTCTTTCGTAAGAGTAATTCCTAAATATTTCATTTTTTTGCTTGCTAATGTGAATAGTCCAGTTTCTCTTATTTCCCTCTCTGTAATTTTGTTGTTCGTGTATAGGAATGCTATTGATTTCTGAGTATTGATTTTGTATCCAGCCACATTACTGAATTTATTTATTGTATCTAAGAGTATTTCAATGGAGTTTAGGGGGTCTTCTATGTAGAGTATCATGTCATCTGCAAACAATGATAATTTAACTTCTTCTTTTCCTATCTTTACCCCTTTTATTTCTCTTTCTTGCCTAATTGCTCTGGCTAGTACTTCCAGTACTATATTAAATAGGAGTGGTGATAAAGGACATCCTTGTCTTGTACCCGATTTTAAAGTAAAGGCTTTCAATTTTTGGCCATTTAGTATGATGCTGGCTGTTGGTTTGTCATAAATGGCCTTTATTATATTGAGGTAAAGACCATTTATTCCAATTTTCTGTAAAGTTCTTATCATGAATAAGTGTTGGACCTTATCGAAGGCTTTTTCTGCATCTATAGAGATGATCATGTGATTCTTATTTTTGGCTTTATTGATATGGTGGATTACATTTATTGATTTGCGTATGTTGAACCATCCTTGCATTCCTGGGATGAATCCCACTTGGTCATGGTGTATAATCTTCTTGATGATTTGCTGGATCCTATTTGCCAATATTTTATTGAGGATTTTTGCATCTGTGTTCATTAGGGAGATCGGTCTATAGTTCTCTTTTATAGTTGGGTCTTTCTCAGGTTTTGGTACTAGAGTAATATTTGCTTCCAGGAATGACTTAGGAAGGATTGCTTCCCTTTCAATTTCATTGAATAGTTTGAGGAGTGTCGGCATTAGGTCTTCTTTATATTTCTTGTAGAATTCTGCAGTGAATCCATCTGGGCCTGGGCTCTTCTTGGTGGGCAAGGACCCAATTACATTCTCAATTTCATTAGCAGAGATTGGGTTATTCAACAGTTTTATATCCTCTTGATCTAGCTTTGGTACTTCATATGCTTCTAAGAATCTGTCTATTTCTTCTGTGTTATCAAACTTTTGAGAGTAGAGGTTTTCGAAATAGGTGTTGATAATCCTCTATTTCTATTGGGTCTGTAGTGATTTCTCCTTTTTCATTTCTTATTGCATGAATTTGAGCTTTTTCTTCCCTTTTTTAAATAAGGTTGGCTAGGGGCTTATCGATTTTATTTATTCTTTCAAAGAACCAACTCTTTGATTCGTTGATTCTTTGGATTGTTTTCTTTGTCTCTATTGCATTGATTTCTGCTCTGATTTTTATAATTTCCTCTCTTCTTTTGTCTTTGGGCTTGACTTGCTCTTTTTTTTTCTAGCTGTTTGAGGTGTAGCATCAAGTTGTTTATTTGTATTC